CAAATGTTAGGTAAGTCTTTAGATTTTACCATATTGTTTTCTGGAGACAGTTATAAAAATTATGAAGCAGAAGGTGAGTATAGCATAATTAACAGCACACTGTTTTGATAATGAATTATACAATTTGGATGTAATTACCGAAAAGGATGGAATAGAAATTCTCAAAATGACACATTGAAATTTGTGACCAAACTTCAATATTCTATAAATTCGCATGTGGCTTTGCTGGATGGCATAGTTTATGATGCTCAGAAATCAGACCCATCCTGAGATATCATGAGAATGCAAATGACTTTCCTTTAGTTATTTTTGGCATCTGTTCTTTTCATGTGACTGCATTTTCTACCACAAACTCACCTCAGGCTTCCAAAAATTATGTACTACATACTCTCCTGTGGCTATCCAGTTGCTAAGCAACTAGACTCTGCTTGAGGGCAGAAGGGAGAGAGGATGTCTTGTGAGGTACCCCCTCTCCTGCTGAGTTCATCAGAACAACAGCAGGGAAGTCATATCTTAACTCTTCTGTAAATGATAAATAAGGTTTCCTCATACCCTCATATAAAACCTTTGGTCTTAGAATATAGACAATAACCAACATCTCCTAAGTAATCTGTTGGGGTTCTGGGGAAAGGGGTAATTTAAGTTGGAGACCTGTCTAGTTTGAAGTTGGCATTCAGATTAATGCATGTTACAATTTTGTAACTAGTCTCATCCCATGTTTGACATCTTCTCATTCCATTTATTATCATAAAATTGCTCTATGCAAGAGACACAACTTTAGTGTTCCAATAACTAAATATTATCTTAATGTGTGCATTTGCCAGTTTGTCCTATAACCTCATTTTCCAAGACTGCTAGCATTGCCACAGGATTATATGTTTTTATTATTTTGTGTACATTGTTTTGTGTGTTTATGCATTATAAATGTCTGCAAGGAATGATTTGTTTTGTTTTTTCAGTTCTTAAACCTGAAACCTCTAAAGGTGTTGTATTCATTTTTCTTTCTGTTCTTATTATGTGATCACCTCCTCTATCTTATTAATTTAAAATTAACTTGTTTCGAGAAGCAGGAGCCTCATGAGCAATGGCTGAAACATGTATTTGTGATACTTGTCATTTTGAACCTTTTCACACACTCCTTATCTATGTTTTACCGCGTGTTTGTTCCTATTTCTTAAAGTTGAAAACCTTAACTTTCTACTTTTGGTTAATAAGTTAGTTTTGTTCTGAGGCTCCAATCCTTTCCATGTTCCTGGAACTAGTGTATTAGCTTTCAGCTAAAATTATTTCTTACAATATTCATTTGACTTAAGTTACTGCCTCCTATTTCTCTTCTGGTTCATCTTCCACAGTTCTGCCAACATAATCATTGTAAGTTTATTGAAAATCTTGTTCTCTTGCTTAAAGTCATTCAACAGTCCTCTGTTCTCCCTGGAGCCTAGATCACATTCCGAGATTTGAAGGGTCAAAGCCCTTCAGGATGTGTGGCTCACTCTCTGGCTTCTTTTTCCTTCACTTCTCGACAGCCACCTACTGCATAGCTTGTGAAAAGAAGTAGAATTCACCTTGCTGAATGAGCAGAGAGGGGACTGACTTCTCCAGCATGTTCATTATAATACAAGCCCTTCCATATCAGGGCAGGAGGAGTCTCCTCTTCACAAACTGTTTTTTAATCTCTGATACCAGCCATGGGTTAGCTTTCTCTGGCATTGGGTTAATGCAGCATTTGGATGAGTTGAATGAATAGCTTCCTGTGCTAGATAGCACTGAAGAAGTTAATCCTGCTGCAGATGCAGATTACGTGTTTTTACATTAGCATTTGCGGCTTTCATAAGTATATTCTAATGCAATTGCCTATTCACTGCCAGACTGATAGCTTAGTATTAATAATGCAGTCCTAAAATTGTTGTTTGGGGCACATGGTATCCAGAGTTTGGAAAGATAACACGCAATCATTCCAACCAATCTGTACATTTGTTCTATTGCCTAAGGGGCTGACTTCACTGTTGATTCATTCTAGCTTCCTAAATATTTTAGTAGCAACCATTTCTAATAGATTTGATGTATTGTTTGTAAATTCTGCAACACAGAACTTTCCCTGTTGAGATCCTATTTGGCTCATTTTATAACTTGGGATTTTGGGGACTTAAAATGAATATAAAATTTCTGTGTTTTGAAAAAGAATCTTGATTCCCACATTCAGATTCTCCATGGAGAGATCAGTAGTCCTTCTTCTGGATGCCAGAGAGTATTGGCTCTATTACAATAAAATATTTCTTTTGCAACTTGCACATTTGTTTTATAAATATTCATCTCGATTTAGTCAATAAAGTCTTATACTATCTTTCCACATTCTCAACATATGTTATTTGAAGTAATTCATTTCATTTGAAGGTTTTCAACGAAATATGTTCTGTTTTTTTTTTTTTGCCACTGTGTTCAAAACTGTAAATCTGAAGGTTTGAAACTAGAGTCCTAAATGGCTATTTACAGCCAGATGGCCACATAAATTGTGTCAACTCCCTATGAATCTCATCTTTACACTGACTTTGTTCTCTTTCTACTAGCAATGCTCAACTTGCCTATGATTTGAAGACATGTGCTAATAAAGATTAAATGAAAAAGTTTCCAGTGAGAGACCATCCTCAAAAGAGAGATAAAATGGCCAAGGAATAAAAGCATACATAAGAGATACATAAACTGTAATAAGAGATACATAAAGTGTAATAAGAGATACATAAAGATGTTTTTTGTTTATTCTATATTTATCTTGCATGGTAAAATTCTTATGTCATGGATCTCAGTAAACTCTAGTAATGCAAAGGAATACCAGAATACAAATTTACAGTAGCAGGTACAACTTAGCAAAACACAAAGGGCAGAAATACCAAAAGAATACTGAGAGAAAGCAAAAATGGTAAGGCAAAAGTTAGCAAATTATGATGTGAGGATTTGGTGCAGTGGTTAAGATGGTATTTTGTTTGGCTTTTCCATAGCTCATACTGGATTGCCTATTTTCTTCTCATCACTCTGCTGAGTATTCTAGCTTCCTATTAAAATGGCAGACGACAAAGCCAGTATTTGGGTCTTTTCCACCCATGTTAGAGACACAGATGCTGCTTCAAGATCCAGCTGTGACATTGTGGGCATCTGGGAAATGAACCAGCAGATGAAAGATCTCTCTATTTCTGTACTTTTCAAAAGATGAAAATTAAAGAAAAATGCATAAATAATGAAATAGTTCAAACAATTGGAGCACTAGAGAAGACTTTTTTTGTAAAGATTTTTTTTTTTTTTTTTTTATTGGAAAGGCGGATATACAGAGAGGAGAGACAGAGAGGAATATCTTCCATCCGATGATTCACTCCCCAAGTGAGCGCAACGGGCCGATACTATGCCGATCCGAAGCCAGGAGCCTCTTCCGGGTCTCCCACGCGGGTGCAGGGACCCAAAGCTTTGGGCCGTCCTCGACTGCTTTCCCGGGCCACAGGCAGGGAGCTGGGAGGGAAGCGGGGCTGCCGGGATAGAACCGGCGCCCATATGGGATCCTGGTCGTGCAAGGCGAGGACCTTAACCACTGCGCCATTGCGCTGGGCCTTTAAAAATGATGTATGCTAGGGACAGAATTGGAACTTACTGCTTATAACATCAATGAAAATGTTCACATTCTACGTTGTACCTGTGTTTAATGTTCAGTATCCATTCGTGCCTTGAGGCTGCAGTGAATGCAGACCTTGCGTGGCAGTAGCAGTGATGAGTGAAGGGCTGAGAACGTAACCTATGCGCGTGAACTGCGTTGTCGTCTCCACTTCCAGCTTTGGGTATGGCTCTGGCGTAGCCATTCCACGTGTTTGGAGCATGCAGTAACCTAAAGGGGTGCCCTCTTTTGTTTCTCTTATCTCTCTCTCTTTCTCTACTTGCTTTCAAATAATAAATAAATAAATAAAATTATGTTTGAGAGGGAAAGGTTTCATTATTGGTGATAATGTCAGTCCCTTCCTATTAAAGACATAAATAGCTTTTATGTGAAGTAAAAATATTCCTGAAGGCATTGTTTTGTTGTCAAATAGCAGTTTAAGTGGAAAAATATATATCCTTTTTATGTGAGAGTACATTTTTCTTTATCAGGCATTGTTCATGGAATATGATTTGTTCCCAATTTAATGTTCTCCATCAGTTTCCCTTTTTAGGTTTCCTAGTCCCAACAGTGATGATAGAACACAGGACAATGGACAAAACCATAAACTCATTTGGGTGCAAAATTTTTTGAAATCCATGCACATTTTTAAAAAATATTTATTTTTATTGGAAAGGCACATATACAGAGAAAAGGAGTTACCAAGAGAAAGATCTACCTTTTGGGCTGGTTCACTCCCTAAGTGACCTCCACAGCCAGAACTGAGCTGATCCAAAGCCAGGAGATTCTTCCAGGTTTCCCACGTGGGTGCAGGGTCTCAAGACTTCGGGCATCCTCTACTGCTTTTCCAGATCATAGCAGGGAGCTGTTTGGGAAGTGGAGCAGCCAGGACACAGACCAGTGGCCATATGGGATCCCGGTGCATGCTAACCAGCAATTTAGCCACAAGGTTATTACACAGAGCATCATGCAAAAAAAAAAAAATTATTTAAGTGCACATTTTCCAGGCGCTTTTTGAAGACCCCTTGTTACTGCTCCAGGTTTCTGTAGAATCCAGCATTCTGTTTCTCCCAGCCATGCATTCTACCTATTTTGTCTCAGGAATTCACTGAAAAAAATCAATTTTAATATTTTTCTATAAGTCTATATGTTTAGAAAACTCATACAAACCATTGTGGTAGGTGTATTCCAAAATATTTAGTTTTGTTCAACATTTCATAAAATATTTCTTTTTCTATGATTACATGGAGAAACTGTTAAATTTCAGACTTACGTGCTTATGTAACCAAAATAAAAATGTTTCCCTCGCTTTTGCCATAATTTACGTTTTCTCTCATTGTGTTGTTTTTCTTTCCCTCTGAAGAACGACCCACGTTTCTCAGGAGGCCAATTAACCAGGTGGTGCTGGAGGAAGAAGCTGTTGAGTTTCGATGTCAGGTCCAGGGAGATCCTCAACCAACTGTGCGCTGGAAAAAGGATGATGCAGACTTGCCCAGGGGAAGGTGAGAACAACATGTGCCTGGAAAGCTACTGGATCACCAGTGAATGTTTAGCAGTGATGATATCCGTGTGTTTCATACTGTAGAATATATATATATGCACACATATACATACATACATATATATGTGTGTATGCATATCTATCTTTTTCAAGGCTTCTCTCTATCATGCACAGGTTAATGTCTTATAGGATTTTGGTATAACTTTGCCATTAGTATCCTACATAAATTATATTTAATATTGAGATAATAATCATTTAGAAAGATGTTTCCTACTGTAGACAGCAATTGTCTTCACCTGCCAGAGGTACTTAGCCTTTTGCATTTAAAAATAATCTTTATTGTTAGCATAATTTTAGCTTTATGAGAAAGTTTACAAGGTTATTGCAGAAAGAACCTATGCACCTTGCACCCAGTTGTCCTTATCATTAACATTTTTAAAAATATAATTCTTCCTTTCAAATAAATAAGTAAATATTTTTTTTAAATGTTAATGAGAGATAGGGAGAGGGAAAAATGAGAGAGAGAGAGAGAAATGCTACTCCTCAAATGTCAATCACAGTGGTTGGAGGTGGGCCCGTCTAAAACCAGAAGCCACAAGCTTTATTAGTGTTGCATGTGGATGAAGGAACCCAAACACCTAGACCTTCTTCCACTGCTTTTCCAGGTACATTAGCAAGGAGCTGAACTGGAAACAGGGCAGCTGGGACTTGAATCCATGCTCATATGGGTTATTGGTTTTGGACACAACTTTTTTACCTCTTACACCACAATGCCAGGCCCTGCTACTATTTACACACAATTTTCAAACTTAGCATATTTTGGGTGCATAGTAGAGCAGAAACACTAGTTGTATTTCCTCAGTTTTTCATTAGTGTCCTGTTAACAACTACAGAATCTAATCCAGAATATTTACTTAGTTGAGTATTATAGGTTATTACATTAACTGTCATTTTTCCATCTCCTCTGATCTGTGACAGCTCTTTCATATCTTCTGTAGTTCATAACCTTGACAATCTTGAAGAGAAACATTCTAGATTGTTCTAGACAACTTCCCAAACTGTAATCTGCCTGATGTTTTCCCATGACTGCTACATACTTGTGCCGTACCAGAGAAAAGGCTAACAGAGCTCAAGTTTTATCATCACATACTTTCATGGAGCTTATGGCAATCATACAGCACAAGTGACCCTGTCTATTTTTAAACATTAAGCAGAATCAGTTTGAGAAAGAACCCTAAGGGTAAGAGTATACTACACTGTATTGAATCTATTTTTTTTTAGATTAAGGCAAAAATTTAAAAATAGTTAAGCCTAGTTTGATATTTCCAAGTTAACTATAGTTGTTAGGCCTTAAACCTTACACCTTTGCTGCTGCACTACTGCCAAGACTTCATGCATTCATCTTTCTCAAAGTCCAAATTAGTTAGACAACTTAAACAATACCATTCATGCTACCTTTTTGGAATGTGCGGTACGTAACTCCCAACATTAATTTTGAAATTATGAAAATGTAGCCATCACTGATTTTCTTCAAAATATTTTCAGAACTATGTCCTCTTAATTTCATTGCCATCATGAAACTATCACAGTTCTTTATGGAGCCAGCTAAATATTTTTTAAAGCATTAGGCAGATGGAAGTGCCCTGGAAGCTTTAAATTGTTCTGTTAGAAAGGTTTAAAAGACCAATGCAATATAGAAATTGAGGTCAGTATTTTTATCATGATAGAAGAGCTATGGACTTCATCGTGATTTCCCAATGTTTAAATGATGTTTCAAAGGAGCTTATGCACTCTTAGGTTTGTATGGATTAGTATAAGCAAAATGCGAGGAAAAAGACCTCTGCTTGGTAAGGAATAACGGTAATAACTTTTAGCCAACCACTGACTAAATCAGCACCATTGATTCTATTACATTATTTAGGTCTGAGACATGGGAGATGGCCATTGTTCTTGTAAGAAGTTGGTGTGGGAATGACATTTTTTTGGCTTAACACATAATTAAATTTGAATAAGGTTTGTGTAGTGTTTCATGCTTAACACATTCATAGTAAAGATTTGCAGGGCAGCTGCATAGCCTATAATTACTGTGTAAGTAATATGTGACTATTTTTCTTTTGAAGAAGAGCTTTTCAATTCAGGTTTAAATCTGTGAAATGCTGTGAAAGGTATTTAAACCTCCAGAACAGCAAATGTTGACTGTGCCAAACTTTCAGCAGGCAGGGGTACACTCAGGGAGCACTTTCTTCCCTTGTCAGGAATTATCATTATTATTTTTTTTTAGGGTTGCTTGTATGTAGGTTTCTTTCATTTATTTAGCTTTAAATTTTTGTGTCTTTTCAATGGTCCCAATGAAATCATTGCACACTCAATGACTTGACATTACAATGTTTTCTGACAGTTGGACTGTGTTGCCTAGCAAATCTGATGATGATCCTCAGGTCCTATCAGAGCAGTTATTTCTCCTCAGATTTTTTTCCTGTGACATAGTGACAAGCTTAGGAAGGACTCTCGAGGTAAATCATTAAGCATGCCACTCTCAGATTGTTAAGTGCTTGCAGAAATTTCAGAAGATATTATGATTTTATGTTGAAATATTAACAGAAAAAAGTAACTTTTTCTTTGCTGGTGAGTTGACACTCAGTGTTTCTATTTTTCCACCTCCTGGATGTTCAGGTACCTATATGATAAAATAACTGAAAATCGTCATCTCTTAGATTCCATAAAATAAACTGTGGAGGGGGAAATAGTTTTATAGTTTATAGTAAGTTATGTTTTTAAAAATGTTTTTAAATGCATAATTTCAGTTTTAAATGATACATTTTCAGATTTGCTTGTATTTAATATCTCAGATTTCATTCTTATGGCCAAAAAATAAAATAAGTCAGTGTATACAATCTAATTATAGTCTTGCTGGTTTTTTATTTTATAATAACATTGGGAATGTAACAAAATATTATCAGACAATAGAAGAGAAAATAAAACTCAGTAACCCCGGTTTCTTCTTCAGTTTCTATGTCTTTCTGTGTCAGGTTAATGTCAAACTTTTTTTACTAGTACACTTTATTTACCAATAGTTTCACCACAACTTTTTACAAAATATCTTATATGGGAAAAATTGAGAACCTTTTTTCACAAATGAGAAATTTCATCTTATGCTATGTACATCCTAACAGCAATTGTATGTCTTTATTATATCACATGTTTATGCAAAATACTATAAAGTATCATATATTAATATGAATAGAGTATAATTGTTTTGCAACCAAAATATAAAATAAAATTAAAATACACCAGTACTACAATATGTTGTTTAATCAAACGTCAGTGAGAGCAACTAAAACACACAAAATGCCTCTCAGAATCTGGGGAACAAGTAGTATGATTAATCTAATTGTGATTTTTTTATCTGGGTGTGTCAGCACAGCTTGGATTTCAGTTAATTATCAGCAGTCCTTAAAATAGTATAAAGAGGAGGCTTCATAGCCATCAATCCTGTGATTTTCAGCATACCAACATCAGTGAGTCCCCCAATCCTTTTTATTCCATTTTATTTACAGTTTAAGATAGCTGTAAAGGAGCACTAACTTCCTCAATAAGGATCTGCAGTGTGAAAAGGAATATTCATAATAGCTTGTCACAGAAAAAAGGAAAGAAAATGTGCCATTAACATTCTTATATATACTGGCAAATTCTAGATGCAGTTGATGGCCTGCTCATACAGGATGTAATTCATGAATATTTCATAAAAGTATAAAACAGGCTGGAGAATAAAAGTCTCAAGATATAGAATGTAAAATTCTCTCAATTTTCTTGAACCTACTGACAAATTCCTTTTTCTAAAGTGCAAGTGTTTCTTTTTCTTTTCTTTTTTTTTTTTTAAGAAAAGGGACTTTGTGAGAGTTCTTAGTTCTGTGAAATGTGAGAGTCAGAGGAATACATGATTCTTTAAGAAAAAGAATTGAATAGAAGCTTCTTTGTAATTTCTCTTTTTGTGGCACTTACATGGACGAGCTCTTTCTGCTTAGCACTAGAATATGTTCTTTTCTGAACTGTTTGGGAGCTCCATTGTTTGGAGCGTGTGCCTCTGGGATGCAGAGATCCTGAACAGGTGCTCAACCACCCTGCTGAGGGAATGGCTTTCTTCATGTATTCTGTGTGCTTCAAGGACATGCGCCAATTTGGGCTCCTGATAAATAACTGCACTGATTGTGTTAGCTGATAAAAACGGGACAGATAAAGTGGTTTTAGAAAAATGAAGAGAACACTAAGGGAAAGGAAATGCACATGAGCATTGCATGTGGCATCTAAAAAGATGGTCTTGTACCTTAAAATTGTATAAAGGAAAACATAAATGAAAAATCTGCAACTTTCATTGATTTTTTTGCTTGTTTGTTTTGGTGCAGCACAGATGTCTTAGTGATTTCTGTCTGATTATAAATTAGAAGCAGTGTGGACAATTGCTTGAAATCTTTTCATACAGATGACAATAGCATAAAGAATATGTAGGCCACTTTCCAAAATGTTGGACTTCAGGTCTTGTTCTGCTATTGTTTGATCATGTATCAGCTTAGTTACACTCCCATCTTCTGGAAATTATGTCTCTCAGATTTTTCAATGAGTAACTAGAAGTATGACCTCAAAGAAGGTATTTTAACTCTGGTTCCATCCTCAAGATATGGAATGGCAATTTGGAGGCACTAATGATTCCCTGTACTTTGTTTCACTTTAAACAGTGTGACTAATTAGGCCATGCTTTCTAACTCTAATGATTTTTAAAATGAAAAAGCTATTTTCAAGCGCTATAAATATTGTAGAATGTAAGCACCTGCCAGGTTCCCCAATTTTATAAATCTGGCTGGTAACAATTACTAGTTATAGAGATAACTAGTAATAGAGAAAAAAAAGATACCATGAGAAATAAGGAGTATATAAATTTTTTATAATTAATATTTACATATTCTTCTCTTCTATAAGTGAATATGGGATATAATTTATTTTAAA